TAGATGCCAGCTGACTTCCATTGGAAACTCCACCCTCTGTGGATTGGCCAACTTGACCTGAACTTCCTCCAGCTGCCATGTTGTTTATCACAGGCAATGCCAGGGTTACTCCACCAATGTTTATAGGTAAAGTTGTCACCACTTGTGCCTGAGTACCAGGGATGGTTTGCAATTGCAGTGGTATGGAAACACCAGGCCTGATTTGGACTGGGACCGTCTGATTTGCTAGGTTCTGAGCAATAATATTCCCCGAAGCTGTCCTATTTGAAGCCGTGAGGATAGCTTGATTATTTCCCGCAGGAATAAGCTGAATTTGACCCTGTATATCTTGTAGACCAGTAGCATTTGCAGGATTGATCTGAATTTGTTGACCTTCTGTTGTCTGAATCTGTGGTATCACTTGATACTGGACACTACCACTTGGATTTTGTACTTGAATGACTTGAAATTGTCCGGGGGTTGTTGCAGAAGAATTGCCCGATTTAGTTTTTGTAGGAGATGCACTCCCATTGTTACTGCTGGAGGGACTTGGTGTGCTTGAGGCAACGGAAGATCCCTGTTGAGCAACATTATTGTCCTTTGAAGCAGAAGGAGATGCAGCAACAAGCTGCCAAGAGTTTCCAGCGAGCTGAGTTGTTACTAATTCTAACTGTTGTGGCTGATTTTGAAGCTGCACCAACCCTTGATTCGGATCTATAATAATCTGCTGCTGTCCAGTTGCTTGATTCTCACCAGGAGTTCCTATTTTGCTGCAAGTGGCTGCTAGCAAAGCAAGAGGTGAAGGCTGAGAATCCTACCCAGAAAGAGAGAAAACAGAACAGATTCAGGAGAAAAGCATGGGAATTAACCATCAAAAGTAAGCATCCAGATTTACACAGAAAGCAGACAAAAACATGCTTCTGCATAGAGACCAATGATACAGCTCTGAATAAGGAAGTATATGTTTCTGTAAATAATCTTTAAATACAAGCCAATGATTATCAATGAGTACGTGACAACATATGTGCTTGCTCATCCAGTGTTTTTTTCCAAAAATAATGGCAAATTTTATAAGGACCTCTATTATGTGGAAAGCAGCTCATTGCTGCATACCGCAATCAAGAAGTACATCAAGACAGTAAAAATACTGCACTCCAACAACTAGGCTTCACCCAATCCAAAGAAAGATGCCCTCAGCAGGGAATGCTGCTAGCTGAACACTTAATTTTAAACGCTAATAGTTTGTGCACTTCCCAATTTGGGAGCGCGTGCTTTACCTGTGAGCCTCCAGTTTTCCCTTTTTTATTATTATTGTTGTTATTCTCTGCCTCGGGAGATTTCTCTCCCTCTGTGGGCATAGTTTCCTCCTTCTTTTGATCTGCAAAAATATCAAGTGTAACAGGTTAATTATTCACCTTCATTTATACAATAACAAAACCTACAAGCGTATCCTTTTTGGTTCCCAGCTTCTCGCCCGTATCTCTCCGTAAAAACAACGGCGCAAACCATTATTACAAAAGAACCGAGTCCTGAGAAACGTGGTTTGAAACCCAACCCATGGGGGCTGGAGAGTTAACACCCAGAAAGGGGAGGTTTGGTTTCCTCTCCCGGAGACAGCAGGAGAAAACCACCCACAACCCTCCTCCTCCTCCTGCCCCCCGAAGCATCGGCCACTGAGTGGCCGTCGATGCTTCAGGGGGCAGGAGGAGGGTTGTGCATGGGAGGGAAGGAGGGAGGCAAAGAGAAATGAAGGAGGGAGGGATGTGCACGGGAGGGAGGGCTGCGAAGAAAGGGGGAACGGAGGAGGGCGGCACGGCGGGAGGAGGAGAAGAAAGGGGGCGCGGGAGGAAGGGCGGGGTGAGCGGGGGGACCCGGGGAAGAAACGGGGGGACGCGGGAGGGCGGGATGGAGGGGACGGAGGGTGGAGGGAGGAGCGGAGGGAGGGCGGGAGGGGTGTGCTCGGGAGGGAGGAGGGAGGGGGTTACATACCGCTCATCCCGCATTAATGCCCCGCTGAGGCGCCGCTCTAGGGGGGAGGAGAAGGAGGAGGAGGAGGCGGAGGGTGGGGTGGGGGTAGCGGGGAGAAGGCCGGTCGCAGCCGGAGCGGGGAGGAGCGGGACGGCCTATTTTTCCACGAATGGCCGCCGCTGGGCTGTGGCGTAGCTCCTCTCTCTCCGCCCGCCGCCGCCGCCGGCCTCAGCCCCGCCGCTTTGAGTGACAGTCGCGGGCCGGCGGCCGCCGCCGGGGGGAGGGCGCGCGGCGGCGGGGCGGGGCCCGCCGGGGCCCAACCGCCGCCCACTGAGGAGGAAACCGAGCCCTGCCGCCAGCCTCCGGCCGCCCCTCGCGCTCTCTCCGCCTCAGCGCGGCTCCCCACGCCGGAGGCTGAGGAGGCGGGGCGGAGGCGGGACGCGAGTCGGGCCCGGCGGGCGGCAAGGCAGCACAAGGGCGGCCTCGGCCTTCTTCTCCTCCTCCCACTCGTCTCTGGGCCGCGCGGCGGGGGGCGGGGCTGCGCGGCGCGCGCGCTCGTGCGGCGCTTTGACAGCGCGGATGGGTGGGGGGGCGGAGGGAGGCGGGAGGAGGGCGGGGCCTGCGGCACCGAGGGGCGGGGGGAGGCCGAGACCTCGCTGCCGGCCTGCCCGCCGCGGCTCGGGCGCCGAGGGAAGGGGGAGCGCGCGAGTGCGCGCCAGCGGCCAATCCAGCGAGGCGGTGGGCGGGGCCGCGCGCAGCACTGACCAACCAGGTTGTGCGCGCCCGCCTCGCGCTCCCCTAACTGACAGTGCGCGGGAAGCTCTGGCGCGGCTCTCGCTGTGGCGGGCCCCCGCCCTCCACGCTGGCCCCTCTCCTCCGAGGGACTTCCGTGGTTTCCGTAGGGAAGCCGAGGTCCGCTCTCCCTTCCCAAATTTGCACCGGCTGGTGGAGCTGACGCTCTCTAGGCGCACTGCTCGGGGGAATGGCGTGCAGGGACCTCTTCCCCACCTGCCGGGCATATTTCCCACAGCCGGTGGCGAGGGGGCGGGAACAAGCCACCTCCCCATTGGCTCAGCTGCGATGGGGACGCGCGCGGCACGCCGGGATATGTAGTCCTGGGTGAGGGGCTGAGGGGCTGCCGCGTGGTGGGGACGCATGCGCAGAGCGGCAGGTGTGCCTGGGCGTCCGGCTGCCTTGCGGGCCTAGGCCGGGCGGTGTGCGAGGGGGGGGGCGGTGTCTGCGGCGGGCTGGGCTGGTCAGCGTCACAATAAAAACGTTAATTATGGTTGTGTCTTTGGTTTTCTCGGTAGGGTTTCCTCCAGTTCTCCGTGGCATTCCCCACTTTCCCATGACTGTTTCTGGAAGATACCTGGTTAAGTTGAAACTGGCCATGATGTGATGTGGTGGAAGAGATGATGAGTGCCCAAGAACTGACAGCCAGGCTAGGCTTGCTGACCCCATTTCAGTTTGGAAGGAATTTGGTAGCAATGCCAATCTTTAGATGACAGCTTCCAATTTCAGCCCTCCAGTGCATCCTCTGCAATAAAGATGTCAAAATATGGAGCTTTTCCATCACAGACCAAGGAAATAATCAGAAATAAAAGTGCCCAAGCTATTACTGGGTGGTGCATGCTGTGGACATGCAGGTCACACACTGATGCATCAGGAAGTAACCTTACAAGCATGGTGATTTGCACCCAGATGACCCAATAGCAATACCTCACAGTGTGCCATATTCACCTCCTAAAATGAGAGTCTGTATGAGAAATGGGCGGATAAGTTAGCCGGGCTACTCATCTTTGTCTCAGTGAGAGACAGATGTCTCAGAATCTGTACTCGTTTCGGAAATGTGGCCCTAAGGTGTAAAAGCACTGTCTCAGCTCAGTATGAGATTGAAGTGGCAGACAAAAGATGGTGGTGGTAGTGTAGGTGGCTTCAGTAGGGCATTGTGACTTTTATATCTTTATTATCCACAGTGACACTCCTATACCACCTACTCTTTCCCAATTTCAGATGTCACTCTTGCTGAAATTCTTCCTGCCAGTGTAAGCATTCTGAGCACGCCTCTTTTTTCATTGTTCCCATATGAACCACTTCTCACCCTGTGCACCCCTCATACCTGTTGCTCCCTGCAGATTCTCACATAAGTCAGCAGAAGTTACCTGTTGAAAGAGATTATAACTCATGGTGTGTGTTCATTGACACAGGATTCCCATCTGCTGTTGGGACAGATTAAGGAAAAGTGTCAGAAATGAAAAATGAAGCAAAAAGTTTTCATCACAACTTCCCTTCAGGCTCAAACTGTGTTGATATCTGCAAACAGAGCACAACCTGCATTAGCAGAGGCCCAATGAAGGGTAAGGATCCTGGAAAGGTGTAGCTCAGGCATCACATCAGAAGGGGGTGCATAGTTTGAACTAGGGCCCAAACTAATAAAATTGACTTTCAGCTTGGCACCTCTCCCAGTGTTCTGTTTAACCAGTGGGCATTTAGCTCCTTGTTTTAATTTTTTAGTTCTCCCATCTCTGTATCCACATGTACAATTTTCTCTCTTATCAGTCCTAAATTTTCTGCCTTTCTCTCTTTTGATGAGTTTCCATAGTACTCTGATTTTGTTTTCTTCATTTTTCCCAGATTTCTCCTCTTTGTACTTACTTCCCTGAATCTTGTATTTCCCATTATTTTCTGCTCCCTCCTTCCTTTTGCATTTCTTTCTTCTTTTTCTTCTTTTTAGTCTCAAATTATATCCTATTTTTTGTCACTCTTGTTTTGTTCTCTAAAATATACCTTAGTGCCTGCATTGATTTTGTGCCTACCAAACAGTTTTAGATTTCTAAACTTTTAGGAGTTTCTCTGCTGAGCACAGCAAGGCTTGTCACACTGAACAGAGTAACACCTAAATATATTTACAAAGAAAAAAAAAAAAAAAAAAAAAAAGATGGGGGCGTGAAGGGGGAGGGTGAGACAGCTGGCTGCATGCTCCAGTTTCATTGGTTATCCTCTCTGCTATCTGCCAGTACTTACATAGGTTGCATTTGGACAGAAAGGTCTGGGAGGCCAGCAGCTGTAAGCAGCAGAGACAAGAATGAGACGGTGGCTTCAGAAAAACTTCAGAAAACTGTAAATCTGGTTGTAGGGCAGCTGGTTGCATTGATAATGCTGCAGCCCTTAAACACAAAATGCTAGATTGGTATAAAACCATTCTGATGTAAGGTAGGTGTTGGTGGTAAGAATACATAAATAAATGAGGGAATAATTTTAATCTGGCAGGATTATGCAAGATCAGGTATCAGATATCTGCATTTCTGAAGTAACTTCTTTGGCCAGCCCAAAGTTTCTTTTGCCAGTCTTTTTGTTCTCTCCTAATGCTCTTGGTGCTGTTTTGTCATAGCAGCTGAATGTTTCCAGGAAGTTGCTTTCCTTGTGTATATGCAGGTTTGGGTGCATATTTTTCCTCTTATTTGGGCCCTTCCTGGAATCTAGTGTTTTGTTGTGAGCTATCTTGGCTCCAAAAACAGTAGCTTCGAAGAATTCAGTGACAGCATAGCATTACCAATCAGACAGAGCCTGGATCAGAGCCACAGGGGAAATCATGTGTTTGGCAAGCTCACTCTCTAGGCTTTGCTCCATGTGATCCCAAGTGGACCAACTCAGAGGTATTTGACTTGCTGAGAGTCTGTGGAAAACATTATCAAAACCACCATGGGAATTCAAGGAATGAATTTGTCTGTTGTGTCATTTCTTTGCAGATGCATCAGCCTATGGGACTCCAAACAGCACAGAACTGGGTCAAGAATGCTCCCGCCAGGAAAGCCAATGGTAAAAATGAATATTTCAGTTCTGACTGTCATGACCCTAACTTACACAAGCCTGAAACACAAAGTTATTCTTTCCTCCTACCACATCAGTACCCACTGCACCTGATTTTTGCCTGATGTTTTCCCAAGCACTTTTTCATATCATAATGATGCAGCAGTAATTGTTAGAAAATAATTCAATCTGAGACACTGAATCAATCCTTTATTTTTTTCTAAACAGAATTAATGCAATAATTTCAGTCTAGACAAGGCTCCCTCATTCCCCACTCCTTTGCCATATCAACCCTGACCATTAATGAACTTCACATCAGTCAATGTAGAAGTGAACTTTAACTTAGGATATAGAAACAAAATCCATCTGACATTACTCAGGACCTCAGGTCAAGCTGCTGCCCAGCTACTCTGCCGCAAATCTAAGGATAAACGTGCTTATCAATTCCAGGGCAGCCTTTAATTTACTTATCCACGTTTAATCAAAGATGTCCATTTTCAATATCCAGACTCACATTATCCAGCATGGAATTAACATGCATACCTTAAGAAGATGACTGTTCTCTACTGTGTGCTTTCCTGTGTGCAATCTTTTGTGTGCTTGGAAACTGAAAGAAAGTCTTACCCAAAGTCTTTTTGAGCTTGAGGAGCTGTACATCCCACATCTTACCAAATCACCTGACAGTGGTTTTGTCTTCCACAGTCTACAACAGCGTGCAACACAGTTAATCTTTCTTTTTGATACAGAGCTTGGAGAGCTGAATGTACAGAGTGACTTTTTTTTCCAGTTAGTGATGCTGCTGTTGAAAAAGTATCTGAAAAAAAGTCTACTACCACTTAACAAAATGATTACTTTTGTTTCAAAAAATGTTCTTCTTACTGATGTGTTTCCAATCCTGACATGCTGTGAGAGCACTAGCATTGCAGAAGTATGCTTTGGGTCAACACGTGACTAAGTTGTCCTCCCCTGTACATTGATCAAGATGTATTAGCATTATCTTACAAAAAAAAAAAAAAAAAAAAAAAAAAAGGCTGAATTTATCACAAATCAGCCATTAATATTGTAATTTTAACTGCTAAAAATCTCATTCCAGTGCTCAACTGCTTCATCTGTGCTGGCAGAACTCTTTTCACAGAGCCAGACTAACACTCTAAGGAATCCTGTCTTTGTCAGTGACATTATGTGACTACACTGAAAGCTGAACCTGATGTAACTTCAGCTTTGCTGTTTCACTTTATGCAGCCCGTTGTTTGCAGGAAATGACACCTCTGGGTCAGGAAGTCTGCATGCATCTGCACTGAAAGCACAACTGTCGTGCCCAGACACATGCTTCTTGCTCGGTTTGTCTTGCAAAGACTTTGCAAGAATGCAGAGGCTGTGGTGATGGATGTGGTGATAGTTCTGTAGTACTTTATATGAGCTTTTGAAAGCTGCTGAGTGCTTCAGTAACAGTGGGATGCTCCTTATCCAATGTTACCTGCAGTGAAACAGGGCAAGCAGCTTACAGAGTAACAGAAGATCAGAAACTGGGATTCAGTTTAACCTGGGATGACTAATTATACGCCTGTAATACACAGTAAGAGTAAAGAGGATATCCTATGCTCTGTGTAACTTGCAGTTCATGCTCACATGCAAACCAAATGTTATACATGCTACCAGTGGCTGAGTTCTGCACAAATCTGGTAATAATAAATGCAAAACATGCTGCATGAGGAATGTGCCCGTAACTATACTGCTTCTTGTCCAGCAAAATCAATTAATATACCTGTAAACTTAAGTCCACAAATACAATAGGTGTGGGAGACAAATGTGAGGTGGAACTTCTGCCCTTGATCTCTAGAAAAGAAAGTGAACAAATCAAGCAAATTTCAAATTCTCAAATATGTTTTCTAATCTTCACTCTTCACTATGATACAGTTTTGCTTTAATGAAATTTCTCAGGTGATAAAATTGAGAATGAGCCTGAGACTCCATTTCTGTCTGGGCGCAAGTGTCAGTGCATTTGGTGGAGGAAGACTAACCACTGTAAAAGAAGAAATGAACGAAGACGCAAATGGAAGTAAGCTAGTGGTAACAGATTATTTCAGCTACCCAAGATTGGTGGCTCATATGTCACAGTAAAAGTAGCAAATTCGTGTTACCACAAATGTCTGCTTTAGGCAGTAGGTAGCTTTGCTGGTATGCTAGAGATTTAGTTCTAAGTAACAAATGAGATTTGATTTAAGAAGTAATTACAGCTGAATCTCACTGTCACAGTAGCTGCAAGATAGTGAAGATTAGTATATTGATCCTAACTGCCCTGTGTCCAAAGACATAAAAACACAAAACTAGAAGTATTTAAGAAAATAAGATCCTTAAAATGGGTATGGTATCTATTAAAGTATGCCACAGTAGGATGACAAAAACTTCAAACATGTTTCATTAGATAATTTACTCAGTTAACACATAAGTCTACCTGGAGGTAAAAGCAGTGCCAGTGATGTTAGCAGGAAGTGTTGTGGACTGAATTCTGGATCTGATGTGTATAGGGAGGCTGAGTGGGGAAACCTTAGTTTGAGTGGCCAGAAATAAATCCAAATAAAGATAATTATGTGGAATAAAAGACGTGCAGGCATCAGGAGACATGTTAAGCTACATTGAGAGACTGGCTCAAAGTCAGCAGATCTAACCCCTCTGCAGATGTTAGTACTCACAGGGAGCAGGCCACTGGTGCATGCGTGAAGCAAGGATAAGGGGAAATGGTTTTAAAAACTGGAAGAGGGTCGGTTTAGACTAGATATCAGTAAGAAATTCTTTACTGTGAGAATAGTGAGACACTGGAAAAGATTGTCCAGAGGGGTTGTGGATGTCCCCTCCCTGGAAGCGTTCAAGGCCGAGTGGATGGGGCTTTGAGCAACCTGGTCTAGAGGGAGGTGTCTCTGCCTATAGCAGGGGGTTGGAACTAGATGACCTTAAAAGTCCCCTCCAACCCAAACCATTCTATGATTCTATGATTATTTTTGTAGATAAAAAAGTGAAGTCATTGTTAGAAACTGTTATGAATACATATGGTATCAAAATAAAAGAGGTCATTTAAGTTACAAGATTTCTGTTTCTTTGACACTATTAACAACAGTAGCTAGAATGAAAAAACTGCAGAGTTCGTACTGCCTTTCTCCACTTCCAAGGAATGAAGAACCTCTAATGCTTGTTTTTCTAACTTGTTCTTAAAACCTAAATGGTGGAGACTCACACTACATCTTTACAATCTATTTCTGTCTATAGAAGTTTTCCCTATTTTAGCCTGAGTTTTTCCTTCAACAATTGACACCTGTCAATTTTTTGTTTGTTTTTGTTTTGTTCTCAACGTCACGAAAAACAGTCAGCAGCATCCCTGTTTATGGGAACCTTCTACATGTTGGAAGGTTATCATACACTGCCACAGCTGCCATCAGGCTTTAATTTTTAGAACAAGCATGTCCCTTTTTTTTTTTTTTTTTTTTTTATAATTATTCTCTATCTCCTAAATTTTTTTAAATTTTTTTTTTTTTTTTTTTTTTTTTTTTTTTTTTAAACCTCTTTTTGTATTAGCCTATTAAATTACACCAAACTAAGGCTTCAGAGAGGTGAGTTAAGAAAAACAATTAGTAACCGTATCTTGTATATGACACATGTATTAAAATGCCCCAGGATGAATTTTTCTATCTTTGCATCAGCTTCATAATGTTGACTCATTTTCAATATGTGGTTTACTGTAACACCCAGGTCTCTTTCTACAGTGCTGTTGCTATTCTCAACTTTGTATTTATGCGTTTGATTTTCTCTTGCCTCAATGGATTATTTGTACTCGTCTTCATTGCATCTCATCTTATTGATTACTGACCATTTCTCCCATTTATCAAAATTATTTTGAATTCTAATCCTTCCTCCTACACAGTCCCATCTACTTTAGTATCACGTGGAAATGCACACACACAAAAAATGTATATATAGTTGGAAACTTTCAAATGCAATTGATTTTTAAAAATGAAATTTAAACCTTGCGGGAAGCAACCCCACACCACTGTTCTTGTAAGCATAGCTATCCCCAACTGATTTTAGGTGTTGTGGAGGGTCCCACTGTTGTTCAAATCTGTTCTTTGTTTTCTTTTAAAGAAAAATTGTCAACAAATCAGTGAAGAAAAGAATCGTGCCACATTGCATAGGTGATATTTTGTTTTGGTATTTTTTATCTTTTTGAGTTGAACATAAAAAGTGCTTTCTGTTTTATAGCGCTTCATGCACATTGCTGAGATTAACCTCCAAAATGTTACAAGTTTCATTCTAAATCATAACAAAAGTCCTCTCTTTTCATCAAGTTGTAGTTATTACATGAAACAGAAAAGTAAACTGCTTTGAGATTCTCCTTGGAATTACACGATGCTATAAGATGCTATTGCTATAAGAGAGTTCAACTCTTCTGCTTGGCAAAAGAATGTGGCTACGAGCAGCTCTCTGTCTGACTTACAAAAGCACCTTAACTTATAGTTGTATATTTAGATTTTTATTTTAGAGTTCAGATACAGTTGCCTGACATTAAATTCAGCTTCCAAGGCTGCAAATTTATGGCATTTTGGTAGTTATATGTTTTGCAACAAGCAGTTTCCAGAAGTGGACAGCACTCATTTGATGTCATTCAACCCATTCATGTCAGTCTTCAGAGAGAGAACTGTTGAAGAATTTAATGTCTGAGTTGTGTCTCGTGTAAGGGTAGATAAGAACTCTGAACTAGCTAGACACATCAGGAGCCTTCTGCTTCTCCATGAGCAGAACAGGAAATCTAATTTGTCTCATGTGGTTTCCTGCTGAAACATGCATTTGTAGTGAAGAATGTATGAGCACTGCAAAATTCACTTACCAGATAGTGAAAGATATCCTTTATATTCTGACATTTTTTTCTGAGGTGGAACATTAAACTTGCTAGAAAATGACTAAGAGAATATAACATGGAAATTATTTCTCTCTACCTACTTGGAGCAGAATAATTTATAGATGATTTAGAGAAAGAGATATAAGCCCTTTATTTTAATGTATATATTTTAGATATTAAAAAATGGAAGAGGTTCTCACTGATGTGAGGTCTGCCCAAGGCTTAAATAAGGGGCACCTCACAGCTCTGGGGTAGGCACTGCTCTGCTGCATAGCTGAGATAACTGACAAGCTTTCATGGAGATCCAAGCTCTTTTGGGTACCACCAAATCTTTCTCTGTGGGAATGCACGTTTTTAATCAGTAGGCAGAGGTAAGGCCAGCAAACAGCTGGGCAGCAGCTGCTGCAATCACACAAGGGTGCAGATGGAAGATCTGGCACCGAGTGGCTAAACAACTTAGTCAGCTTGACAGCAAATAATACCACAGTTAGAATTCCTATCCCTACTAATCCTGCTTCAAACAGGTTGGGAAGGGAAATGTTACCGAAAGCCAGAAGGAATTCTTAGGATTTCTTAGTTTCAGTTCTTATTTAAAAATTATTCTTGTTTTGCCAAAGTTTATAATTGTTATATAGAGTAACAAAGGTTCCAGAAACTTGTAACATTATGCTTTCTCTCAGCTTGTTTGTACTTGAGAGCAGTCAGTCAGAAAAACCCTCATCTTGCTCATCACAGTGTTGCATGCTGGTTTTATCTGTCATTGCACTGCAGGTCATTAGCAGCTGCAGCACTACTTAACGACACTCTAATTAGCATCTTGAGAGTTAGTCACTTCATTTTGTGCTGATTCACCTACAGCCACATAACTACCTGTGATGGGCTGGCATGCAGCTGTGTAGTTTCACAGCCATCTCCAGGTACCTCAGGATGGGTAGGTCTCCTTTCTCCAGCGCTTGTGGCCACTGACTCCTTCATGGCAATGCTGGCACTTGTATGGCTGCTCAGTGACTCAGAAAACCTCAAATAACTCACCTGGGAAAAAAACAGTCAGAAAAAAAAGGTGTTATTCTCAGCTTTTTCAGCTTTTACATCTGACTGTGCTGTCTCTTCACATGGGGCAGAGTTAGCCTAAGTTATGCGTAATGGGGAATTAAACCCAGAATTTGAGATGTGGAGTACCAGAAGTGTCAGGACATAAAAAGGCTTCACATGGATTTTAAAGGATATATATAATTTCATACCACGTGTGGATTAGCCTGAAAACAAGCAATAGAAAAAAACTACTGCTACTTCTGAAAATGTTTTGGAAAGTTTTTCACCTGTCTACCATCACTGATACAGATGTTTACAAGGAGAGGTCACTGCTGTAATTAATAGAACAGCAACATTCTCTGGAGATCTACCACAGCCATGTGAGCATGGCTGGTCCAGTAGCTCCTTGATCTTGCTCTCAGCTAACTCTTTTTATGCCAGAAGCTAAGCAGAGTGAACCAGATATTCCACTGGTTTTACAGTTCTTAAAGTATGCTATTATTTACAGAACCTGCTTGACTGAACATTTCCTATTATTTATGACTTTTAAATATGAAATCTGACAGCTTCTATTTACTTACTTACTTATTTTTTATTATTACAGACATTTTGTTACTTTTTTTCAAAGAAAATCAGTTCCTGTCCATCCCAGTGCTTCCCAGCCACACAGTTAAGGACAATCACTGCTACATGCTGGTGGTTGGCATCTGGGTGCAGGATACCTGTGCCCTTAGCTGTGCCTGCAGTTGGAGGACAATCTGTCAAAACTGCTGTTAGCCCAGGTGTCTGGTCATAGGCTGCACTAAAAGACCCTGAAATCAAAGACTGTGGCTGAGATGTGAGTCATCAGCAGATACCAAGCACATTTCAGAGAAAAACCACTAAATGGAACATGCCTATGCTGCTCTCTGATCTTTTTAGCTTGTACTTATGTTAAAGAAGTAACACACAGAAGGCAAGAGTTAACAGTGATTGACAGTGACCTCAATTGCCAAGAAAGCCTTACTGCCCAGCTTCTTTCTCCTGCTTTTCCTCATCTATATGTTCCTGTTATCTCAAGTCCCCTCCCTTTTTTGTTCCAGCTCGGATTATCAACAGGCTTTTCTGTTAATTGGTATAACTTACCCTGCAATGGAAAAAAATATCCTTTTTTTGTTGCTTAATGGAAGAAACTGGCTCACAGAAACACCTTGTTAGCTCTGTGCTGTAGGCAGGAGTGAATGGCTAGTGTTGGGGTAAAAAAGGGGGAAGCAATGTGAGTGTCAGCTGTGATAGGCTGTTAATTCACCTCATCAGAGCTGTGAAACCATTACTTGGGGATCAACAGCTTGTCTTGCAAGCAAAGGTGGTGAGAATACCTGCCAAGAAGGTTCTATAAGCTGTGGTTAAACATATTGCTACAGCAGCTAATGTGGGCAGAAGCTAGAAGTGGAATGTTATCCAAGCCCCAGGTTTTCATTAGCTGCAAATACAGCACTGATAATAGAATAATGACAGTCAAAGCATAAGTGGAATTCTGAAGATATCTTAAGTAATTTGTAGCACTGAATAATGAATTTAAGAGTAAAAAGTGCACTGCTAGATATTCAATTTCCAGTTTATTCAAATTATTGCTTATATTAATGCAATTAATATATAGCACATTTTGCATAGAATCACAGAATCATAGGGGTTGGAAGGGGCCTCCAGAGATCATTGAGTCCAACCCCCCTGCCAAAGTAGGTTCCCTACACCAGGTTGCACAAGTAGGTGTCCAGACAGGTCTTGAATATATCCACAGAAGGAGACTCCACAACCTTCCTGTACAGCCTGTTCCAGTGCTCCGTCACCCTCACCGTAAAGAAGTTCTTGTGCACATTTATGAGGAACTTCCTATGCTGCAGTTTCTGTCTGTTTCCCCTCATCCTGTCTCCACACACTGTTGAAAAGAGTCCGGCCTCGCCGCTCTGCCCCCCACACCTCACATATTTATAGACCTGGATCAGGTCTCCTCTCAGTCTTCTTTTCTCAAGGTTAAACAGATCCAGTTCACTTAGCATTTCTTCATAGGGTAGATAGTTCCCTTTTTTGGATCAGAATTTAGTGAGGGTCTTTCTGTTGTTCATAAAAGTGTGTGCATATGTACATACATGCTTTCTGAACTTCTGCTTGAGACTATAATGATCTCAACTATCAGAACACCATGGAACTCTGAAAGAGGATCTTACCTCTGAAAAATTATTGTACGTCTGATTTTTAGTATTTGCATGCTAACAGCACACTAGTAAAATCAGGAAGTTTTACCAGCTCCAGTAGAGTTGGGATATCAAAGAACAGAGATGCTAACGTCCATATTCACAGAGCATACTTAGTTGCATAGATATCATTAGATGACTTGCCTGAGGCATTTAGAAAAGCCTCTGTGGAACAGGCACTGTACCTAAGCCCTCAAATCCAGGAGTACTTCCCTTACTACTGAACTTTGTTGTTTTATTGTGCTTGCAACAAATCGTTCGTTTAAAACTGGATTTAGACTACTCTAGGAGTTTTGAATGTTGATCCTGGTTGGGGGGAAGGATATAAAACTGCTGCTGATGCATAGAGTTTCCATGTCTATGACATCAAAAACAAGCTTAAAATAAGTAGTACTGGGTTCTATTGATGCCCTGAGGAGCTGAAGTCAGAGAAGTGAAGGAATACCTCTGAAGAATAAAACCAAGACTTAGCATTACTTTGGTGTTACTAAGAAAGCTGGTCTGGTGATGTTCTGTGCACCTGCTTGGAAAACACAACACATAAAAGAAGAAGAAACAGTTTTAAGATTAAGTCTACATTGTGAATATAATATAATCATAAGTCTAAATTTTGAAGCTTTCTTTTATATAAATTCATTTTGTTGAGATATTTAGAGGGGTTTTACATATATTTTAAGGAAGGAATTTTAAAATGGAAGTGCATGAAGCATTAAACAAGTATTTTCCAACGGAGTTTTCTCTGATATGAAAGGAATTCTTGGTGTCACCTCTCATTTCCTGTGCTGGCTGTAGGACACCAGGAACAAAAAAGTTGAAATTCTAACTAGTGACATTTAAAAACTGGAATATACATTATTCTGATATGCCTCATATATATGACTTTAAATTATCACTGAGAACAGAACAGGACTTTGGAGCAGCTAACGACCTTCCCCAGCATAGATTTGATGTGCAGATATATGCATGGATACATCTACTTTGCCCCTTTAAATTTGTTCCTAGGTTACTTAAGGTTTGTCTACTCGGGGAGCTCAGAGCTGCTGATGGATGTTACCAAGCTTCATGTGAACCAGCTTCATCCATGAAAAGGTAGCAGAAGGTGAAGTGTGCCAAATTCATGGCTGCTGGAAGCCACTTTCAAACTTCTAGGTAGGTGTTTGCCCTGTGGCTCTTCATAATCATGTAATTATTTGTTGCTATTTTTATCTCACTGCGAAAGTATTAATCAGACAAATTAGACAGCACACGCAGTCTACAGAATAAGTTTTAGCTCAATACACCTGCTTATGTTGTCATAACATAATTATTAGCTTTCTATTTTCATCAGATTTTTGTTTTCTTCTATTATTAATAAAACCATTTTTATGAAATGCAGACTGTATTGAAAATTAGTATATGAATGTCATTTTAGTGATCATATGGACAATGTATTTTCTATTCTTGACGTCCTTCTCTTCAGGACATTAACAGTATTTAATAAGTGAAAATTGGATTTAAATGCAAGAATGTAAGACAGATGCTATTAGGTAGCCTTGAAACAGCAACAAAAGAAATCTGAACACATAAGGCATGAAAGAAGCCATACACTTTAAAAAAAAAAAAAAGGAAAATTCATGCTGAACATACACAGTGTTTGTTTTGTTCTTCAGTTTGCCTAGTTTAATAATATTCTAGCAATGTTACATATCTACCTTCACTGTATTTTTTTTTTCCTTTTAGTTAGTGTTACTACTGGCAAGATTCACACAAATAAACGTTGACGCATTAAAAAAATAAGAAAGATGAATTTTTTCAGAGTGTGTTTCCATAGGCCCCTGGGCTTTTCTAGTAGCTCACTGCCACCCAAGGAGTCCAGCTCTTGCTTTTGCTGTGTTCCAAGACCTTCTTGCAAGTATCTTTCCTGCAAGCACTTCTGTGACCGCACAGCTCTGTCCTCCCTCTTGCTCCAGAATTGTTGCTCAGAGCACCAGGGAAGAGAAATCACGAGAAAGCAATGAAGCAGAACTATTTTTCAGTTTCTCTGGCTTCTAGGAACTGTGGCTTCTACCCATCCTCCTGAGACAGCCAGTCATGTTCTCTTGGTCTGAAGGCCTCTTATGACTGTAGGCAGGGCTGAAGACTGGGCACAGGCCAGCAAAGGCATGAAAACAAAGCAGAGAGAAAGCATTGGTTTGGAGTGGTTGGTCATCCCTGGCACACCCTTGGCACAAGTAGTTGAGGTCAACCCAACTGGCTCCTCTGTCTCCAGACTCTAAAAAGGTTGCAAGGAGGAGCTAGGTTTATAGAGAGACAACACTTACAGATCCAAAAATGTTCATTTAGTAGAAATGAAGTCCTGTTAACAAATGGGCAGCTTTCTTTTTTAAGAACACTTAGTTAAAAGGATATAAAAACTATCAAGATGTGCAAGCTTCAAAAGACCGTAAGGAATATCACTTCTGGCTGTCAGATGCCGTAAGTATGTGTAATAAGAGCCGAAGGGAAAGAATAACAAACAGCGCTTTTTGAATTAAAAAAAAAAACGTGTCTTTTCTGTTCAGCATTGAAAAGAGAATCAAGTACTTCTGCATTTATTAGGAGTTATTTTTCTGCGTGCCTGCCTTTCTTCTAAAAGGAAGAGTGAATGAGAACGATGAGCTTCTGTTAGCTTAGTGAGGTGGAGAACAATTGTGAAGAAGCAGAAAATTCAAAGTATATAATATTGCAAACAATACAAAAGATGATTTCTCTAACGAGAAATACCAAAGCCAACTCAACAATGTTTCCTAGAAATATAGTTGCTGTAATCCCTCGAGCTCCATTCAGTTTCACATTGCAGTGTTTGCACAAGTTATATGAAGTGAAGACTTATCAATTGTTTTAAAGTAATTCTTAACGTTACATTTTTGTCAGTGCTTCTTTGCTTTACTCAAACTCAAACATACTCTCCAAAGTAGCTCAGGCTTAGAATAGCAATGAGTGTGATTAATGGGAGGTGAAAGACATTGTCGTCTCAAGCTGTGATGCCAGCACAGTTACTGACATAGGGTCTGATTTGCCTCAGAAATAAGAATTTTGTTCAGAATTAAAAGGAGTGTACAGCTTTCTTGTGGCTTCCAATTGCAACCTGTCTATACCAGTTAGGCAAAATGCAAAGCAATAACCAAAGTCGTAGTCATTTACAGTAATTGTAGGCTTGAGTTGGGACTTAGGGCTGATGGTGAAGGATGAGGAAGTGCTCAGGGGAGAAAGAGGCACAGAACTGTGGTGATCTTGCCCTGGGAAACTCCCTCTGGTGCAAACTTGGCAGGGGATTCTTTGATAACCACAATTTACCCTTATGCTCTCCATCTTTTCCTCAGCAAGGTGGTCTGTCCAGCTTTTATTGCCACTGCTCTGTATTGGTTACAGCTACAAGGAAAGGAAATGTATACCTGCCACTTGAAGTACCCAGATGCAGGACAGACATCTTGAGAGGACATGCTCAAACATTTCTGCCTATTTTCAAGTGAGAATATTTACCTCTTGCAGTTCTGGAACTTCCATGGCAGATGAAGAAAAGAAACTGAAGACAATGAGATGAAGGAGGGATTATTCCCCTTTAACCAGGTTGTAACACAAACTTTCAGAAACTATTTGTTACTTCCATTGTCACAGGAACCACGTGACCACAGATGAGAATAACATATTTCCAACCAAATTCTGTAACAACATTTTCTCAACTGCTAAAGGAGTAATAAGCTGATGGTAAAACATGAATCATTTAGTCTATATAAATACATGATTTTAGCATGGGTGCATTGTGGAAAGCTATGTCACAAGTGTATGATGTATATTGAAAGATGATGGATAATTTCACTGCAATTATTTGTTCTTTTTCAGAAGCCATCTTATCATTTTCTGTATTTTTCATGATTCTCAGCAGTGTAAATGTGGTAAGAGTTTGTTCCAAAATTAAATGATAGTCAGTGTCATTAAACATGTCCCTTTGTATGCTATTTTACATTTGACAGTTCATCACAGACAACTTATACATTTACCTCTGCATAACCTTCACTGAGTCTTATAATAGTATATATTTTTTTCATTTACTCAGGTGAGAAAAAGATAGCTTTTCTTTTTTAAGGAGTGGGGCACTTGTCACTGTTTCTATCTGAGCAGAGCTATAACACAATTCACTTAAGATACAAAGATAATGCTTTCTATCAGCCTCAGGTCTCGTACCTACTCTTTACATAGCACAACAAATTTACAAATCCAGTAAATTTAGATGCTTAAACCTGTTATTACTATTATTTAATGTGATAAATATTTAGTATAAGATCCTAAGTAATGTGTAGGAAGGTTGATATACAAAGAGGTTGGCTATATGGCTGTGATGGATTTAAATTACAAACACACTTTTAAAACTTTTAGTAGCAATTGGATTTATGTAGGAATGCAAAGAAATGAAGTTGCAGCATAAATGTTATCTGTTGTGTGAGATACTCTACAAATTTATTATGTTATCTTCAAAGATATATTGTTTTCTAGATTCAGGATTCTACACTTGACTGTAAAATTTTGGCAGACAGTCTCCAAAAGTCATGTGTGTTTCCTTTTTTTTTTTTTTTTTTTGCTTAAAAATACTCTACTCTGTTTTGTTGAGAAACTGAATTACATTTGGAAGATAATTTACTTTAAAATAGATACATTAATACATTACCAAAATAAGACACATTTTTTGCTTCAGTCCTCCTTCCCATTTTATATTATCCTTTATTATTGTTACTGGTGGTTTTAAATAGGTTGGTTATGCAGCAAAATCTCATATACACGTGACTTCTAGCAAAAAATATCTCTTGGCAATAAAATCACAAAAATGAAGACCAGCCTAAAGCAAGAGTGAAAATATCCTCTGTGGACAGATGCTAAGTAGAAAGAGTGAGTCAGTCTGGAAAGAGAAATTTAGACAGGGAAAAAGGAAGGCAGTTCTGCAAAAAGATAACATTGCTATTTTCAAAAAATCATTTTCTTGAGCATTTGTGTCAGTGTCACAGTGGAAGAGAATAAATGGTAACCATCACTTACAGCTTCTGGACTTTTCCCTAAACCTTAGCTCTAGAAGTAGATTACACTCGCTCTAACACATACCCATCAACAACCATGCCACCTACTGAAGACAGATACAGCAGATCACCGTGTCAACAAAATACCAAGAAGAAAACACCATACCCTTTCAGGCAAAATCCCCCACTTGTCTATTAAATGCATTTACTTTTCATTCACTGTCTGGTTCCCCATGCTTGAATACTATTCTAGTTACAAAAGTACGTGCAGTTATTATGAAATACCTGTAGTGAAAATTTGAATACTTTTAACCTTTTCTTTTCTTAAATATTGTTGTTTGGCTTTTACAGAGACTGAATTAGGAAAATCAGCCAATTCTGGATCAGGATTGATGTAGCAAGGTCACGAAGCATTTCAACCGTGCATGAAAAAGAGCTGGTAATGTTGGAATGTTAGTATGCGGTATTCAATTAAGTGCTACATATTGTAGGAAGTAAAAAGAAACTATTGGATTTGTCATGAAGTCACACTTCACTTTTTCTACAACTTACCAGTCATTATCAAGCTCTGATGGCAGATGAAGGAGCCAGTTTCTTCCAGTCTTTAGCAGGAAAGAATGAAAACTCTTTCCTATAACCAAATCTCATAGTTTTAAAAGTCACAGTACTGATTAACCCGTATGTATTAGCTTTTGTCAAGCCCACATGTATTAGGTTTAGTCATCTGAATTTTTCTTGGTCTTTGCTGTATATCTTAGACTTAAATTTTATTTTGCCACCTAATTTAATGTTATCAAAGCTTTAGACTGCAATATCAGTGTGTCTGCATCTTGTTGAATAAGTATGAACTATTTCCAATGTGACTTGTGAGCCTGGGACCAAAAAAGGCGACAGAAAAGAGAAAGAAAAATATGTGATGGCTGAGAAAACTGTAACAAGTCCTTACAAAGTTGAAGATGTGAAGTGGATATGATACAAACCTGTCATTTTATTCTGGTCAGAAAACTCGTGGGATGGATGAGAAATAGAACATGTTTGAGCACTGGAACTTTTTTTTTTAAACAAACTATGAGATGAATTCTGTGAAGAAAAAAGGAGTTAGTCAGTATCACCTCATTTGTCATTCCTGTAGAGCAAAGAAGAACATGTTACTTCAGCTCTTCTGAAACCAAGCTGCAGCATGAAATTCATAGAGGTCCCTGGAAGATCTATGTCTCCACCTATGGATAGGAATACCTGCAAGCACTTATATTACCTGTACAGCTGTCTGTCTTCAGCACTGTTGTTTGGTGTCTGTATTAGAAAAAATACAGCTATAGACTCATACACAGTAATTTGACAGCTCTATCTGGGATTTCGTAATCCATAAAATTCTACGTGAATAGGAAAATGCTGATAAATTTCAGGAGGTGCCGAAGTATAGTCCAACTCATTTTAACAACCGAGGCTGTTATGTAACAGGACTTTTCCTTGTATGTCCTTTTTCTAAAGGAAATAGAAGATTTTCTGCCTCACTGTGGAGAGGATCAAAAACTGAGCCAGGTTACAGAGCTTATGGTGAAGTGAGGAGTTTTGTTCACTTCAATCCCAGAACCACCAGATTCCAAAGTTACTATCACCACAGTGGTGGTGGTAATATTTCAACACTTAGTTGAGGATTGTGTCCCTTAAAGTCAACAAACTTGTAGCATGGTATTAATATAATCTTTAATACTCATTAAAACTGAAAATATGGCCTTTTGAAATAATACTGCCTTCTTTCCTGAAATGGTTATAGTGCTAGAAGCATTATTTGACAGTAGCAAAATGTCTTATTGATGTGCCTTTAAAAGAAAGTTTTACAGAAAGCATTTTAATGCACTTAGCCATTGAAAAATTTACTTGCTGTGCAGTTTTTTGAATAACATATATTGAATATAGTATTTATGATGAGATTTAGAACCAGGATGTATTAGTATGTAGATGAAAATTACTTATGCTGTGTTTTTGCAATTATTCTCTGGCATAAATCTGGAATGAAGTCCCTAGAAATTCCAACATAAAAATCTGAAATGTAATATTAATAACCTGAAATTGAGTAGTGCTCTTGAACTGTAGTAGAAATATTGTGTCCTCAATTGTAATTAATTTCATTCAATTTCAGTATACATGAGAGATGAATGTGATGGAAGACAGTATCAATAAGTAATAAATGAAATAGTATCAATAAGAAATAAATGAAATAACTGATATTCCAGATCTTTACAGACAGTGCTAATCTTGTTGCAACAACCTCAGGCATAGAAGGATACTAATTAATGACTCAAATTAATAAATTTGAGAATTTACTTTAAAAATAAATAATCCTAAAGCTTTTTGCTTAAAAAAATATAATCGTTCTTAAAAATTAAATCTCTAAATTTCTGCTAATTGATTCACATGCTTGGCTATATTTTATTATTCACTTTCTGAATAACAAAAGCATTGGATAGTGAAAATAGTTGTAAGAAGCAAGAGGAGAAATTATTTCTTGTGCCAGTTGACTATCATTTGATGACTAAAAAATTATCAATGACAAGGAGGAAGCACAAACCTGCTTATACTAGTACTTCAAAATGTTACAACTTGAGTTGTCCATCTGTTGTGCTGAAAGAAGACGTGATTTTTGCTCCATGTGCTATCATTGCCATATATGATAAAGCTGTACAAACAGATATGTAATATTGATTAACAAAAAAGAACAAGAGACAGGGCTACAGAAGGATATTCAGACATCCAAGGTAGGATATCAATTTGCGACACTCTACCTGTCTCCACAGCACAAAGAGGGAAGAGAACATGCTTCTCTTTTTTAGCCAAGTGTAGGCTGGGTAGATGGCTACTTAGAAACTCTTGAGTTTCATGCATTCAGTCTGCTTGTTCCAGTCTGGCACTCTTTCTAAAGTGTCTTTCTGCTTTATTTATTGTGTCAGCCAGAAGTGGTAACGTTAATGCTCTATTTTAATTTCTGAAATAAAACAATCCTCAAGTTTCTTCATATGGTTCCCGTAGGCTCTCAATATTACTCTGAAACTTACTGCCTTTTACTGCCTTGGCAGATATCAATATTGACTGTGAAGAGTTAAATGAAATGGCCAGGATGCCTTTGGCACATTGTTCATAGTCTCACCTAAGCAGACATGAAAAACAGTAAGTAGAAGAGACTTGCAATCATGCACGGGCAAAAAAAGTGGCCACTGCACCTTTCACTCCCTCATGAAGTTTACTACCAGACAAAAGATAAATCTGAGTTGTATGTAGTATGCAGACTTTTGACCGGCCAAACAAAAAAAAAAGTTCACCTTAGAAAACCTAAATCGTCCTTCTGAGTCGCAAAACCTAATCAAAAACTTTACACACACATATATATGTTTGTTATAATTAGCACAGAACTGGACATAAGTTCTTTTTTTTAATCTCTATAATTAGAGTAAGATCACTTAATTTGAATTTCCCCTGGATGTATTTTTATAGCACTTGGGCCATTCAGGTTTGTTTCAGGTTTTTTTTTTGTTGTTCTTGATTTTTTTTTGTGTCTATTGTTGCATTGCTTTTTTTCCTGTTGCTGTTGTTTTGTTTTCTATTTAGTTTATACTTTGCTATTTTTAGTAATATTTATTTTGCCATTGCTAATGACATGAACTTTGAAATTGACTTGGCCAGCTGAAGATAGGTCTAAGGTTAATTTTCTGTAGATGGGAAGTTGTTTTACAGTGTGATGGAGATTGATCTTCACTGAGAAAGCCTGTCTAAGTTTTCTTTTTGAAGGAATATAGGAGTACTTTTGATTGCTATTTCATGTAATTCAACCTTCACGCATGGCAAGCTGACAGATGAAAGCTTCAAACTCCCTCCTGAATTAGAGAGAGATACCAGAATCCCGTTTTCCTTATCTGGGTCTGCACTTTCCTGGCAAACAGTGTCCTACAATGGTGAAGAATGCAGGCCACTGTTAACACAGTCTCACGAAGAAATACGACTTGATAAACAGATTTTATAAATATCTTATCATTCTTCTAATACAGAAACATAAGAAAGTAGGGCTAGATGGGAGATCTGTGATAATCTCACCTGTGCCAGCACCTGCTCCTGAGGAGTCTAAATGTCACAGTGCTGCCTGTATGAGGTATTTAAGGGTCACTGGTTAGAGAACTGAACAGAGGAAACATTTTTTTAAACCTATAGATGCAAAGAGTTTCTTTTTGCTGCATTTTTGAAGATAAACTTCCCAAAGAAAGAACTAAAAAAAAAAAAAAAAAAAAAGTGGATATTATTAGTGGAGATAGCAGGAAACTGAGCAAGTGGATCTGGAGATAAAATGAAGGCATGGACAGTGGCAGGGTAGTCAGGGAGCATCAATTTAGGGCAAGATCATAAGATGTGACTGGTGGCAAAAAATAAAAATATTAACTGTATTCAGGATGGAAGTATATGAGAATAGCAAATTAGCAAATGCCTGGACTGAAAAAAAGGTTAAAACCTAGCAGGCATGAATAGGAGAATTTTTATTAAAAAAAATAAAAGACAGATTAAAAAAAAAAAAAAAAAAAGAGTTAAAATATATTACTTGCTACCAAGATACCGCTTCTGGAAGACAAGAATTCTTCAAATAATCAAAATAGCAGAATAATTGCAAACCAGAATTATGTATCTGTTCACTGTTTTAAAAAAATTGGAGGAATAACATAGAAAACCCTTAAGGAAACTCAAATCAAGAGCTCAGAAGAAGAAATCTTATTTATAAATATATATATTAAATCAATATATTCCCTATATGAGGGGATAAAGTGAGGTTCTTTGTGTTTTCTCTATGTAAACTGCCTTTATAGGGGAAAATTATATCTGTGCCTTCTCTTTGAACTCAGTAATATCCTCAGAGTCAGTTATCACAGAGGGAAGGGGCTTCTTCACAGTCACCTTACTAAAGGAATTACAGAGCTCTTCAAGTAGGTGACATGCTTTTGGGCACTGTAACGCCCAAATCAATAATATTAAATAGCATATACTATAAAAAGGAATCCTGTTACAAATGAATTTCTGTTCTAAAACAGATTACATCTAATCTTTTAGCAAGTTTCATCCTTATGAGACAGTCTTTAATAGAAGTATTAAGCTTGCTCAAGCTCTATAGCATTTCTTTAATGCCAGCAACTATAAAGCTTTTTTTTTTTTTTTGCTCAAGATTTTAGGAAAGGATCTGGAATTTCCGGTATTCTTTTGGAGCTTTTTCAGATCCGCTGTCTTTTAGTGTTAAAAAGCGTTTGGTTTTTTTCCTCAAAAATGTTTTCTGCAGCTGCGATTGGAGTCCAGTGTTACACCTCCCCTTTCAAATCACTAATAACCTGCAACTAATGTGTGTCATTTCTATCTTTATTTGAAAAGAATATTTTATGCATGGATACATCCACTCATACATACAGAGGAAGAAAGTTGGAACGTTGTAAAGTGGTTCTCTCATTTAACCTTAATACACATAACAATCAATTTATACCTATGTTTTCAAATGCAATGCATTTTTCTGTGTTACGCACAAACAATAAATGCTTTTTTTCAGACCTTGTATTTTTTTCCTGTTTTGCTTTTGACAGGGGTACTTTTTTTCAGAATTAGTATTTTTTGTGTGTGTTTCTCAATAATCAGCCATTTGACACCTACGTAAACCAATTATATCCTGCTCAGAGTGCTTTTTCTTAAGGAATATCTGCTGAAATATACATTGTCTGGAACATATGAGATAGAAATGACATCTAAATTAAAAAAGTTTGGCAGTTATAGTGAAATATTCATTTGAACATTTCTCTGCTCACCTTGTATTTCTCTGAGTATAATCACACTTACGATAATGCCAAAAGCAATTTCAGCACTGTATGACAGTGAGGACTAACAGTTCCCATAAGATATTGTCTGGATTTGTCTTCTGATTAGGTATTGAATGGAGTTTCATTGTGGATTGGCTTTAACTGTTTTTTGTAAAACATTGAGAAGCAGGGGAGACTTCAGTTTTCAAAGCTGATCATCACAATGGAACAGCAAGAAGAAAAGTGATCTGAATTATACCGGATTTAAAACTCATTGTACTTTACTGAACACACCTGCTAACACATTTTCCTATTTTTTAGGGCTATAATACCATTGCAGTACAGTATTTAAAACTACTTGAACACTATCAGGAAAATCATTTGGGGAAAGTATCCCCCAAAATGGAACAGATTCCAGAGTCCATTTTTATTTTAGTCAAAGTTTTTAAACAAAATTTTTCAATGCTACAGCATTTTTAGTGATCTTAAAAGAGGCCTGTTCAGTCCAGTGAAGTAAAGTAAAAAGTACTTCCTGTAAAATTCTGTCCATGTGTTCAACTTCTGCTGTTGCCATGAGAAAGTTGCATAACCACAGTTGGGAGATGTAAACAATACAAACAAAGGTAAGCAGCAAGCAAAGTGTCTCTGTGCAGTCATCAGTGTGAGGAAAGGATGGCTCGGATACATTTTTCTGTAATCAAAATATTTTACATTCCTATTTCTGGATATTATTTTTAAAAATCCATAAAAACTGGTGTGTCTATTCTTAAGCTAACCATTTCTTCATTGCAGACAAAGAATAATAGGGATAAAGTGTATGCAGAACTCAGGAAAAATAAAACATTTCCCTGAGGGAAATTTCACTCACAAATCACTAGCACACTCACCTGTCTTGTCTTCAGCTTAAGAAGATGAATAAACATCCACATACATCCACACATCCGATTTTATTTCTTGTAAATACTTAATACTAATAGTAAAATACATTCCTCCGCGCACAGGAAGTGGAGGGACGCCCCTCCGGGCTCGTGGAAGCACTCTCCATGGTCCTGGAAAGAAATCCACTGTCACAGTAAGGACAGACCTGAGATTACTGGAAAAGACCAGTAATGATTTCTGATTTTCTAATTAATAAGCAGAATTATTAATTTAGGGAAACATTTGCCTCTTTTTATAGATTGTAAATACGCTGTGCTGTTAACAGTTTCTACCCCTTGGGAAATGCTTCATAGGATATGAATAGCATGTAAGGAAAACTAACCAGAGACAGTAGCAAATGAAAACAAGATGTAGATCTTTCTGCCAGTTTATGAAATGAGCGCCCAAAATGTAACTAGAAAATTTAACAAAGAAAACAGTCACTCTCTTCCTCTGATTTAGGAACAGATTTGAGAAGTAATAATTTTCCCCCAGCCCTCCTTCTCTATCCCTTATTAGTGATGATTACCATGTTCATTTTTAAAAGAAATCAACAAACAAGATACCTAGAAGTTCTGATACTTGGCATATCCTAAAACAGATGCTTCCTCTCATGACTGGCAGCTGTGTGTGTAAAATTCAGTTGCATCAATGTTGACCATGTGGAGTAATCCTTGGCTGCTGCTTTGAGAATAACCTGAAATTTTTAAAGAAGATGGGTCCTTTTTGGAAAATATCTAACAAAACGATAAAAGGAAAAAGGTGAATGGACAAAATAATCTCTTCCTTAAGCAACTTGGCTGATACATGTTAGTTCTATGAAGGCAAGCTGTTCATTTTCTGAACATAAATTCTGTGTCCTGTATTGTGTCCATTATCTTTCACTGCCTGTGTTGATCTTTCTTCTCATGGTAGGGAAACAAAATTCAAAAGGGAAGATTGTTATCTCATGATAGAAGGTAGAAGGCTAGACTGATATTTGGGATTAGTAATTACATATCTAATTCTGACATGAATTTACTACATTTTTTGGTATATTTTACAGCTTTTACCGGGATAGCATTTGTGTAAGCAGAGATACAAAGGCAAGATGAAATACCTGAAAGCTTTTTCTAACTTTGGACATGCAAGAATCTGCTATTCCTATTAACACTGAACCCTGTATCAATTTTTCAAAGATAGTCTCCTCTCTCTACTCCCAATATTTGTTCTTTGGTATTCCCACCTCAATGTTTCCATAAGCCTTGGAGAGGCAGGTTTAGAAAATATAGCACAAATTAACCCTTTATTTCCACATTGCTAAGTGAGATCTCTGACCTTCAGCAGATTATCACACACTACTTACTTAAGCTCACTGACTGACAAACACTGGGACCTCAAAATCCCCCAAAAATCATGAGGTTCACCAGATAAGTGGCTCAAATGACAATGATTAAGCATTATGAAGTATTTATTTACAATTTCTGTCTATATGAAGGATTTCATAACCAGAAGAGAATGCACTAGTAACAATTCTTAAGACCTAAACTGTCATAAATTATAAGTACTAACATACCTTAAATTGACTTTTGAGTTTAATTTATTATTTGATGCCATTAATTGCTTAGGAAATAAAAAAATTCAGAAATTAGTATTTGAAAAAAGACTAATTACGTTTAAAAGTTACTTGTCAGCACACTTGGAAAGCTACAAAGGAAGGTATGAAAAAATTCACTTCTGTGCATCTTTCACATCATGTACTACACCTCTAGCCAATCATGATGTCTCACAACATGATTATTAATTCATATCTACCATAATCTGTCACACATGCCAGATTAACAAGAAGTCTTGTTTTCATTCCAAT